TACTGGCCCTTGGTTATGGGACCCCAGTCCCTTGTCTCGGAGAGGTGGCTTCCTGCCCTCAGGGAGTGAGCCGCGCAGCCCCGCCCGCCACCATGGCGCTGTCGCTCTGTGGCGCTGCTGGGCCGGGAGACGAGGGAGAGGAACAAAAAAGGAAATTCCAGAGGACTCTCGCCTGGCTCCCCTTCTTGGCGCCCTTTCCCGCTCCCAGACTAGGAAGAGAGGGCTTCGCTTGGTGCTCTGCCTGCCGGTACCCAGTGGGCTCCTCTGAGCCCTAGGCTGCCTTTCAGGCTGGCGGGACTGGAGGGGCCACCGAGAAACTCCTACCCCAATCCACCTTCTTCAGTTTGCTTCTCGCGTCTTCCCGTAGCTGCTCCATGCATTACGTCTGTGATTTCTAGTTGCGTTCAGGAGGAGAGATGGGTGGATTCTTTGTGCTTACTCCATCTTCTCCAGAAAAGGAACTCATCACGTTTTAAAAACACCAGCTCGTGTCACTCGTCTGCTTCTGACTCTAAAAATAGCAGCCATCATGCTTAGAATAAAACCTGAACTTTTGTCACCTCTTTTCCTCTGTCCCCCCGCTATCTGTAAAAGCGCTGTTAACTTCACACCTCTCTCCTCTTTGCTTGCTTTGCTCCTTGGTTTCACTGTGCTGAAGATTTTGGTGTTAGCTGTGTTCTCTCCTCCAAGACCTTCACATGATCGACGTCTTGTCATGTGGGTCTCAAATGAAATGTCATTTCACCAGACAGGCCCTCCTTTGCCGTCACATCTGAAGTCAGTTTGATTTCAGGAGGTGCACTTAATTTAAAAAAAATACTCGCATCACACCCCTTGTTCCCTTCCTCAGATCGTAGCCGGCTTTTTACACCAGCCGTCTCAGTGGCAACGAGATTCATTATGCAAGGGAACCCGACAGCACCTCACCTCAGCTGGGTAGTAGCTTCTTATGTCTGGAATATTGTAAATGCCTCCTCTGAGTCTGCAGTGTGGGTATCTGCTCTGCAAGTCCATGCATGAAGTGTGAGGACATCGACCCCTTTGGGGGACAGCTGGAGCAGTGCAGGCAGGAACCAGTCGAGAAGTAATGGCCTCTTCTTTGTCTTCTGAGGCGCAGTCCCTGTGGCTCCTCAGAGGGACCAGTGGGCTCGAGCCCCAGCCACCCCCAGGTGACCAGCTCAGTGACACCTTCCCCGCCGGACTCTGCATCAATGCTCTCACCCCTCTTGGCATCACTTGCCCAGGCACTAGCTCTGCAGGAGCCCTGGTCCTCCATTTGAGAAATCTTTCCCTCTTTCTTTATCAAGGTTGTATGCTGTTCACCTATATTTTCCTCTGAAGGACTTCAAATACTCCTTTTTCACATTTAGTTACTCATTCAGTCTATTTGAAATTTATTTTTGTTCATGGTGTGAGGTCGGGATACCGTTTCCTGCCTGTCTCCATAACCATTGGTGCCAGTACTATTTATCGAATCATCATGTCGATCAACACTGCCACCTCGGTCGTATATCCTGTCCCCATATTTTATGGATCTGCTTCTGTTTTTCTTTCACTGATGTATTGATCAGTCATGGGCCTCAGCACCGCTGCTTTCATTATTACAGCTTCATAACAATTCTTGGTACCTGGTTGGCCAAACCCCTTCCATTGTTTTGCTTGTTCTTGGCCCTTTGCTCTGATGTATAAATTTTAGAATTATATATTATGTCAATATTGTGACCAAAATCAAAACGCTGTTGGGATTTTTTCTGAGGTACATTGAATTTACATAAAATTGGAAAGAAGTGACTTCTTTAAAAATATTGTTTTCTAACAATAGAAAACTTGAACATAATACATCTATGCATTTATTCATCTTCTTTAATATCATTCCATAAAACTTTAGAATTTTCTCCATAAACATCCTTCATACATTTTGTTAGTTTTATTTCTACGTGCATTGCTGTTGTAAATATATCTTTAAAAAAAAATTTTTTTTTGGTCTTGTTTTTGTTTTTAAAATTTTTATTTCCTGTAATTGTTTTTAGTGGCTGTGTAGGAATGTTACTGATTTTGTGTGTGGGTGTGTGCCTTAACTCTCTGTTCAGCAAACTTCTCTAACCTATTTTTCCCCATCTTACAAAATATGGCAAAATTAAAAAAGAACATTTTTTAACCCCCCTCATTTTTCTCAACCCTCTCCCCTTACAAGAGTGATTTCTGCAGAAGCAGATCCTGTTTTTCTTGTTCACTTCCATGGCTGACAGCAGGCATGTTTGTTAGATGGGTTCATGAACACAATTCCCAATTCTTAGCAGAGGAAGTAGCGCGTGCGGACGGTACTGAGATGGCGCCACACACTCTGCTCCTTATTTCTGAGTCTCTTTTCCACCTGGCAGCCTCCCCTGTACCCCCACCTTGACTCTAGGTTCTTCCCTCAGCATCCCCAAACCAGGCAGGTGGACCTGTCCTTCAAAGGCTTGTTCTGATCTAGTTCTTCCAGGAAGCTTTCCTGGGCTTCCCTACACTCAGAAAGATGGATCCAGAAACAGAAAACCCAAACAAAAAAAAGCAAGCAAGACTTAACGTAAACTCTATCCTCAAATGGGGCATAAAACTTACAGGAAAACCACCCGAGTGATGGAAAGTTACAGAGTACAGACATGATGGTGGGCACTCCTGCAGTTGGGGGAACAGCATTTATGATCAGTAGCTAGAAAGCGAAGACCCATCAACATCCTATAACGTCAGCAATTAGAAGGAGTAGAAGCACTGGATGAAGGCGCCCCACGCTCAGACAGCGAGCCCGAAAACCCCGGACACCGAAAGCGCGTGTGTTGGTGCGGTCCGTCCCCGTGCTGTTTTCTAACTGCTGTATTCCTGGAGTGGAAACCGAGGATATTTGAACCTTTCCTTCGTTGCTTTTAAAAATCACTTCCACTTTCCTCCTCTGATAAATGTTTTACGAATTCCCTCGTCTGATGAAAGATTTCACTGTGATTAAAGATTTCATGAAGTTATGATAAAGGCGGAATAGATCATTCTTGAAAGCTCATTTTTCTGTGAGCCGAGTGGAGAGGCCGCTTGTAGGCAGCTGTCAGAGCTAATGAATATTTTCCAAGTGCTGAACCCCTGGGGACAACACTCCCACCCAAAGAACCCGGCATCCACCGGCGCGAGCCTGTTCTTTCAGCGACGTGTCGGACAGCGTCTCACAGCCGTGGGTGACAAAGGCTCTGAAGCTGCTTCTCTGCCTTCCTCCCTGAGACCAGTTTCCACATACACATTCTGAAAACATTTCACAGATGCCCCGTGGCCTTTGATGCTGCGTGTGCATGCATGTGTGTGTGTGTGCGCGTGCGCGCATACGTTTTGTGTGCATGTGTGTGCGTGTGCATGTCTGCACGCATTTGTGTGCATGTGCACGTGTGTGTGTGTGCATGTGCATGTGTGTGTACACACTTATGGGCAGGTCACTGCATCCCTGTCCACCTCAGTTCCATTGTCTGGAAAGAACAGAGGACAAGGTTTGGATTTGGGATATGTTTCTATCTATAAAAACAGGAAGATTTTGAGCTCTAAGTCTTGAGTGTCATCTCCCGAGCACTTTTCATCATCTTCTGAGCCTCACGTTCCTCCCCTGTAAATGGGACCAGGGAGGACACCTCCTGGGACTATGGTGATGAAATGACAGTGCAGGCAGCCGGCCTTCTGTGGGTGTCAGCCCTCCCCACCTTTTCTGTTCACAACCAGCGAAGCCTTGCGCCCACCTCAGGAAATACATTTGAGGATTCAGGGGCCCGTGGCAGGGTCCCATGTTGAAGTCACACTGCGCTGAAAGTGACCCAGAGCACACATCCTTTTCTGAGTCTGGTTTTTTCCTATGAAACACTATTTTCTCTGCTCCTCCAGGGAGGAGAATGGCTCCTGCCTCCTGTGCCTGCTCCTGTCGTGGGTATGGCCGTCCCATTTAGATCAGCAAACACCATCACTCACCTGTCATGTGCCAGCTGATACGTGGCATTTGGGTCACTGCCTTAGTTTTAGGCAAATGTTCAACTGTGACAGGGGCCCAACAAAGGGCTGCTAACACCAGTGAAGTGCGTGTGATTGTTTTTTGTTTCATGTTTAGCTAATGAGCTAGACGTTAGGGGGAGGCAGTGTGGGGCTGCTTCACCTCCCAGCCGTCATTTCCCTGTCCACTCCTGACCCCACGCGGCCACCCACAGCTTGCGGTGTTTGTCCTCATGGGCTCTGAGTGGTGGTGAGCCTCTTCGCATCCCGCCTGGAGAGGGAACCAGGGAGGCTGACGGGTGGGCACCTCGTCTCTCAAGGCTGTATCGTCTTACTTGGGATGGAAAGTATCCTGACTGTCTTCTCACTGGCTTGGACTTAGTTCCATGGACCTCCCTTCTTCACCGCCTGTAGTAGAGAAAACCGAGGAGAGGGGGTTTAGATGGGGGGGGTGAGTGAGAACCCCCAATGTCTTCCACAGTTGTAAAGAGGCGAGAAGTGTGTAAGGACTTGGGTAGATGTGTGTGTACAACTGATACACCTGTCCGTGGACAAGGGCCCAGCACCTTGCTTGGACCGATCAAAATCTTGTAAACATTTGCTGATGGGTTGTGACTCAGACATGGCATTTACTGAGTGACACTGTTGCCAAGTGTCTCCCTGCTGGCTGTCTTATTTATGTCTGAGGTGGTGCAGTCCTCACATGTATGAGGCTCGGAGAACTCCGTTTACCTTCCTAAGGTCACTCGGTTTGTAAAGGGCACAGCACTGTGGTAGCGTGTGACCCCAGGACCGAGGAGGACCTCTAATCCCACTTTTTAGAACTCACGGTTTTGTTCAGAATGAGTCTCAGTGAGCTTTTATGTCCAGGGCCACTCGACAGTTTGGGTAAGTCGCTCTTCTGACATCCTCCAGTGGTGGAGAATCTCCCAGGAAGAGTGACGGCGAGGGCTCTCCGTGTTTGGCTGTCAGAGGCCCTAAACTCCCCTTTGTCTCTCCGACAGCACCCGACAGTGCCACCTGCTCCTGGATGTCTTCAACTCCACGGAGCACGAGCTGACAGTCAGCGCCCGGAGCAATGAAGAGCTCATCCTGCACACCGGCGAGTGCCAGCGGTGAGTGTCCCCGTGTCCCTGCATCCCACATGCTTCCATCAGGAGGCACTGAGTGTCTGCTCACCTCCTTTTAGTGACGGAGGCAGTCTTACCCTACACCCCAAATGCCTAGCATGGAATCCTTGTACCAAATGCATGCACTTTCATCCCCAGCGGGTCATGTTCTACCATGAAGTGTTAAGGTTTTTGTGAAAATGAACACACCTACTGCAAAGCCATTAGATAATATAGATCAAAGAGCCTTGAAAGAGCCAGTGAGTACTTGCCTCCTGGGAAGCTCTCCTAATGAAAAAATATCTAAACTAGAGGCCGGCTGTTTATGTCTGTTCTTTATGGAAACTGCGTGAACAACCAAAATGTCGAGCAATAGAGCGTGATTAGGAAATTACAGTACGTTTGTGTAATTGATGGCTACGAAGCTGTCAGAAATCACATTTTATAGTTGTAATGCTGTGCTCATTGGTCACAATGAGGACAGTGATGCCAGCAGACAGTTGGGAGACAAGGTCGCCTCACAGACGTGAAGGATCACCCTCGGGACATGGCCACACCCAGCGGCCATCCCGTGCAGCCCAGGAGGCCTGGTCTGTGAGGCCCTGACGTCCTTGGATTGCAGATCCTTCTGGCCCCTGGTCACTGAACCAGAGCCCCGGCTCTGTGTCTGCCTGGGCGGCACCTGCCTGGGCGTTCGCGCAGGCTCGAGTGAAGCTGGGAGAGTCCGAGGTTCACTTCTCAGGGTCAGGCCCGAGACCCGGCACTCACATCCAGGCCCAGACTTCAGGCTGACCCCACAGTTCTCCTGCAACGTGGATCAGTGTCCTCTACTTAACACGTGGCAAAGGCGGGATGTCAGCGGGTGTTTATAATATTAATATGATGCACAGTGTGTAAAAATCACCTCCCGTGGATAGCACGTGCGTGTGTGCCCGTGACTGGAAGGAAATGCCCACAGCGTGCACAGTGGGGTCACGGGTGCTTTTCCCTTCTTTGTTATGTTGCAATGAGCGTGTCGTGTTATCCTTTGGAATCCACACAAGTTGTTACTAAGCCCTCACCACACTGTGATCAGTGCGTGTGGGTTCTCAGAACGCTGTCATGCGCGCTTATCCCATTGTTATTGTTATGTGTACGTTTGGGTTTGCTCACTTTCCGTCCCCTGGGAATCCCGTGTGTCCCCTGGGGACGAGGAGCTTCGTATTTATTTGGGGCAGATTTGAGCTTGACACTCGCATGTCTCATTTCTTCTCCCATTGCTGTCCTGGGCACCTTCCAGCACCCACTGCTCTGCCAGGGCCACACTGCTGAGCCCTTGGCCATCGCTGGGCTGCGGGGTCCCTGAGATCCAGGCTGCCTGCCCCCGACCCCGAGAGAAATCATGTTCGTTCAGAAAAGCAGCTTTGCCTCCGGGGAACCCGCAGTTATGAAACGATTGCAGCCACACCTAGCCATCTCGTTGTTTGGCGTCACGTACCCTCTCCCCAGGGATGGGGTCTTCTCTCGCTGGCGTTCGCTCAGCCACCCAGCCTCCTCCAGCGTCCCAAGCAGGAGGGTGTTACTGCGGAACCCTGTGCCGGTGCTGTCGGCACTGCCCTGCAAAGCCTGCAGTCTGGGGGAGACAAGACGAGACACGTGCACAGACAGCAGCGGGGGATACCTGCAAACAGGTGTGGCCGGAGAGGAAGGCCGTGGATCCCCTGTGGGGTGCTCGTGTGAGCTCGTGGGGGTTTTGAGCGTGGATCTGTGAAATGGCAGGGTTTCAGCATGCTGACATAATGGGGAAACGTTGAGAGAAGGCATCACGGTTAACAAATGGTATTGCGAGGACATCCACGTGCTGGCTGCGGAAGCACAGGGTTTATTGTCAGGGAAGGGGTGTCATGGGGATTGGCTCGCGGACGCGGAGCTGTGAGGGCCTGGGATGGCCACCCGCCCATCCCCCCGTGCCAGCCTGTCGTGGTTACGTTCTTCGTGCCCGCTCTGTGGGCCTCCTTGCCCTCCTGTGGCTTCTTTCCTTCCCTCCGCTTGGGTCTGTGGAGCTGTGGCCGCCATGGGCCTGCCCCTGGCCCCGACTCAGTGTGTTCTTTCTCCCCAAGCCCTCACCACCGACTGCGTCTGGAACCCATCGGCCACCGCCGGACACTCAGGACTTGTTCATTCGTAGAGCTGTTCCTGGAGGGCTGTGGATGGAGCTGGAAAATTCACAAAAACATCTCGTACATTTGGGAATAGAAAATGGGTCAGTGTGATCACAACACAGGGTCTTTGGAAGAACTCATAGCAGCTGCCGGACATGACGTCCGGGCAGTCGGCAGGCCCTCGAGGCCCGGCTGCCTCTTGTGCAGGCGGGCCAGCCCAGGAGATGCAGAGCCACCTGCAGCCACGTCCAGCCACGACTCTGCTCCTGCATTCAGCTGGAGAAGCAGGTGGCTGGACCCCTGACCCCGACTGAGCTGCTCCGAGATGCACCTGATATCCGGCCTGACACCCCCGCTCCCTCTCTGCCTCCCTTTCTCCCTCCACCTCCCTTCCCCCCTCCCTTCCCCCTCTCCCTCTCCCTCTTCCCCTCTCGCCCAGCACACATGGGCCAGGCACCAGAAAAGCACATCACATTGTCACACGACACAGCTGTAGCTCAGGCCTTGTCATCCCGTTTATTACTGACGAAATGGAGACACAGCGGTCTCTATCTAGGTCCGAGCAGTCAGTGTGTCGTTGGCCCTGTTACCTCCATCTGCCAGGCCCCAAGGCCTTGCTCTCTCCAGGACCCCCCATTCCCTCCTCATTCACTTTAAAGCGGGAGGGCGGACTCACATTAAAGCAGTTCAAGTTAAGCTGTTGACCTGAGACAGGTGTTGAGGAGGCAGATGGCCTTACTGCCCCCTCCAGGGCCCTGCCCCTGGGGTCACCTTGCAGGTGGCCAGGGCTGGGTACCCTCCTAACCCATGGCAACGTTCAGTGCAGCTGTTTCTATGGCGACTCCCTGGGCCTGGCTGGCCATCTCTGAGGACGACGGTGGTTGTGGCTGTTGGGACTAATTGCAAGTGCGATAGCTATTTTTAGCTGCTGTGAAGAAACTCTGACTTAGAAATGTTACAGGATGAAATATGAGCATACCAACACACTCGGCGTGGAATGTGACTGTGCCGGCTCCCAGCGAAATGCCCTTCGTTGCCATGTGTCTCAAGCTCAGCGGCACGCGCCAAGGGTGCCCTTCAGGTCCCCCGTTTCACTTCCCCTGGCCCCTTTACCTCCTGAAACCCCGTCAAACTCTTCAGGGCCCATGAGAACAGATGATGGCTCTGTACCCGGTAGCAGTGACTCTGTGGTGACCTCCAGGTCCAGTTCCGGGTCCAGTTCCTGGTGGCCTCCTCAGCGGGGGCCGCCCTGGGCTCTACAAGGCTTGAAATATTTTATTCTCCAACACAGGCACCCCTGAACATTCACAGCTGTCCCTCTCGTCCCCCCTTTTTCCATTTTTGTGCCACATTGTCTCCTGGTTCCGTTGTCTTGGCACACTCCTTGTTCACTGTTTTAGGGAGCGCCCTCGGATAATCCTAACTGCTAGACGCCTGGAAAATCACAGTTTCGGGTTCAGTTCAGTTTATTGTGCTTTAGCCGTCCATGCTTTTGTCACTTATTTAGCTGTTTGACTTGGCGAGTTACTTGGACTCCTGAGCCTGCCGCTGCTGCTTCTATGGTAAGAAGAAGAAGAGGCGACTGTGGGATTGGGGTGCAGACAATTGATGATGTGCTGAGTATGGAAGCCCTTGGCACACAGTGGCACACTTGTTATTAATTAATCTGGTTTTGAAAGTAATACGAAGCAGATTTAGTCACAAAAATGCAAAAGGAGGAAGGTCGGCCATTTTGAGTTTGGATGTAGTTGTGGAGCAGAGAGACAGCAAAGTGGATCCTCGAAATTTGAGCCTGGAGAGATGGTTCATTTTCTGCTTCTTACTCCTCAGAAAGAAGGAAATTAGAGGAGATTTGTTCTTTATTAAAATACATTTTTTTTGGTGAGTCTGATGAACAAATTACCACAGTGTGGCAATTAGGTGGCCGAGCGTCTCCCTGTCTGATTGTGCTTAATCGGCGCGGTGTTGATGGGCACGTTCTCCTGTCACTTGGCCATAGGAGCCCCAAGGTGCATTTTTCCTCAGTTGCTTTGCAGCTGGAATGATTGATTCATCGGTATCAGTGCTCTCAGCTTCTGATTACCCTTCTGCGCTTCTCTTCTGTCCTGCTGGAGCCCTTGGCTGCAGACTTGGAGTGACCTTGGTGCTAGGCTTGAGATCTTCCTTAAAGGGGGTGGCGTTCTTGAGACGGATCTGTTGGGAAAATGCTGCATAGCCGTCCCCCCACTTGGAGATTCACAACGTACATTAGTGTCTCATGTGTTCTGAGACTTCCATTTAAGACAATTGAATTTTTTTCAATTTTTTCTTATTATGAAAACTTTCAAATATATAGCAAAGTTAAAAGAATTTTCCAGGGGATCCTGGTATACCCACCACCTAGACCTGTCGCTACTGTTTTGCTATACGTTATTGCATATTAAAATGTGCAATCTTTTTGTCCACCTATAAATAAAATAAATTGCAGATATCAGTACACTTCCCTCTGAAAAGCTTGGGGTGCATATCATTAGCCAGGGTTTATATATACTCGGTGTGATTTGAGTCACTTTGAGTATGGTTTTATGTTTGGACCACCACAGGGCTCATCTTGGTGAGTGTAGCTCGTGCACTTGAAGGGAATGTGTATTCTGAAATTGTTGGCTGTCGTGTTCTCTGAATACTGGTTAGGTGGTTGCTAGTATTGTTCAGGTCATTTAGGTCTTCACTGGGGTTTTTGGTTTATTGTTTTGGTCTCTCGGTGAGGACAGGGGTGGGAAGTGCCAACCAGGGCCCCTGCATTGGTGCCATGAGTGCCGCCTTGTCTGCATACTCTGCTCTTGTGGGTGCTTGGGGGCAGCCGCAGCCTCAGGACGCAGGCTCCTT